ACCACCATCACCAGTTTCACCCTCATCCCCATCCCTCACGGGTTCTCCCATTTCATCACCTTCTTCACCTCCACCCAAGATGAGAAGTATCAAATCAATTATGAGAATGACTGCACTTGTACTTCACCCAATTCGATCTCACCCCATGTTGATTAGGTCTCAAATGCAAGGATCATCTTTACTAGCCACTAAACATCCACTACCAGAGGCATTGATCACCCAGTATTCACATTTTATCTGAGTTGTCCTGTTACTCACAGGCTAAGAAACATGTTTAAGGGCGTAAAGCCTTGTGTGACAAGTTTGATGCTCTCCTGAAAAATGGCACATGGACATTGGTTCCCTACACTAGTAACATGCATGTTATTGACTTCAAATGGATATATAAAATTAAACAAAATGCAGACAACAACTTTTAATGCTACAAAGCTTTGTAGCTCAGGGCTTCACTCAATAGCCTGACATTGATGTTGGTGAGACTTTCAACATAGTTGTTAAGCCTGCTACCATAAGGACTGTTCTTAGTGTTGTTGTCTCTAATAAATGGCCCATTCACCGATGTGAATAAACTAGCGGGGATCCGTGTGATGCACGGGGTTTGTTAAGTTAAAGATAAACAATAGAAACATGTAAGAGTATACAATTATTTTATATAATAATTAATAATCATTTATATTTTATATACTACTTTTAATATTTTTTTACAATACAAAAATAACAATAATTAATTTTAGATAGGGTTATTTATCAAACTTAGGGATGGCAATTTTCCCCATTTCCTTTATCCTCGTGGGGATTTGCCCCGAATGGGGTGAGGATGGGGATGATTTTCCCCCTTGTGGGGACGAAGATGGGGAAATTTTCATCCCCATTGGTGGGGATGGTGCGGGGAAGGGGAGAACACTCCCTACCCCACGCCGATGGGATCCCCACTAATATATATGTATATATACGCATACGTTTATATGTATATATATACAAATAGGTCTATATGTTCATATTTTAAAAAATATGGTTGAATATGTTTGAATCTTTCCTAATAGGATTGTAAAATTTAATTATTTTATTTTTATTTTTTAAATAAAATAAAAAACAAAAACATAATGATTGACATTATAAAGAATCACGGGGAGTGGGGATCCCTGTGGAGACAGAGATGGGGATAATTATGTCCCCGTTAGTGGGGATGAGGACAAGGACGTAGATGGGGATTTTTGCAGGGATGAGGGTGGGGAGAGGCTCCTCGTCCCTGCCTCGCCCCATTGCCATTCTGAATCAAACTAATGAAACTGACCAACATGATTTCTAGTATTTCCAATCGGCTTTGGTTCAACAATTTCCCAACCTAACTAGGTTGGATTAGTTTCGCTTTGACCATTTATAAACTGACTAAAATCGAACGACCCAACCATAGATATATTAATATTTTACATTTTAAATATATTTTTTTAATACCAGAAAGTGGGAAAATTCCAATATTTCTTAGGCTAAAATAGTTTATATCATAAATTTAATTTTTAATAATGCCATTGTAATTTTTTCAAGTTTAAATCTTTTGAATCGATCAACCAAACCAAAAATTGACTCAAAGCGCTATAACCTGAGTGACCAACCCCTCAACCTTACCAGGTCGATTTGATTGCCAAACATCCTACAACTAAACCAAACCAACCTATGAATAATAGTTTAATCTCCAATAATTATTAAAAATTTATAGCAAAAATACACAATAAATTAAATTTAAAAAGCTAAATAACAATAGTTTAAACTCCAATAATTATTAAAAATTTTCTATTAAATAACAAAACAAAAATAGATTTATACATAATTATTGAAAATATATTTATCACAAAAACAATAAATATTAGTTTTAGTATAGATAAATATAAAATAAATAAAGACTATTTCTTTAAAATTATTATTAATAAACGATAATTTTTTGAAAGTTATTTTCTAGAATTATTAATTGGTATAAATGAAATTAGTTATTTACAATATTATTCATTTATTGAAATAATGTCATCATTTAAATTTTAAAATATTAATTACTTGTTGAATTTAATAATCCATAAAATTATAGTACTATTCATACATAATTTTGTTTATGTTAACTATTTAAAATCTAGTTATGTTAAATATTTTGTTATTTAAAATATTTAGTTATTTAACGAAATATTTAGAATCTATAGGGGACCTATGTGATGCACGGGATTTGTTAAGTTAAAGATAAATAATAAAAACATGTAAGAGTATACAATTGTTTTATATAATAATTAATAATCATTTATATTTTATATACTACTTTTAATAATTTTTTATAATACAAAAATAACAAAAATTAATTTAGTAGGGTTGTTTATCAAACTTAGGGGTGGCAATTTTCCTTATTTCCCCAATCCCCATGGGGATCTGCCCCGAATGGGGCAGGGATGGGAATAATTTTCCCCTGTTGGGACGGAGATGGGGAAATTTTCATCCCCATTGGCGATGGATGACAAGGAGAGTACTCCTTGCCCTACGGGGACCTAGATCCCCGTCACATGAGATTCCTGCTAATATATGTATATATACACATACATTTATATGTATATATGTATACATACGTCTATATGTTAATATTTTTAAAAATATGGTTGAATATGTTTAAATCTTTTCTAATATGATTGTAAATTTTAATTATTTTATTTTTATTTTTTAAATAAAGTAAAAAACAAAAACATAATGGTTGATATTATAAAGAATCACAGGGAGTTAGGATCCTCGTGGAGATGGGGATGGGGAGAGGCTCCTTGTCCCCACCCTGCCCCGTTGCCATTCGTAATCAAATTAATGAAACTGACCAACCCAATTTCTAGTATTTGCAATTGGCTTTGGTTCAACAATTTCCTAACCTGAATGGGTTGGATTAGTTTAGCTTTGGTCATTTGTAAAATAAATAAAATCGAATGACCTAACCATAAATATATATTAATATTTTATATTTCAAATATATTTTTTTAATACAGGAAAGTGGGAAAATTCCAATATTTCATAGGCTAAAATATTTTATATCATAAATTTAGTTTTTAAATTTATTTTTTAATAATGCCATTGTAATTTTTTTAAAATTTAAAATTGATTTTTTTTTATGTTTAAATCTTTTGAACTGACCGGCCAAACCGAAAATTAACCCAAACTGATATAACCTGAGTAACCAACTCCCCATCCTGACCAAGTCAGTTAGCCAAACAACTTACAACTAAACTGAACCAACTTGTGAACAATAGTTTAATCTTTAATAATTATTAAAAATTTATAGTGAAAATGCACAACAAATTAAATTTAAAAGAGCTAATAACAATAGTTTAAACTCCAATAATTATTGAAAACTTTTTATTAAATAACAAAACAAAAATAGGTTTATACATAATTATTGAAAATATATTTATCATAGAAAACAATAAATGATTATTGAAATACAATAAATATTAATTTTAGTAAATATAAATATATAATAAATATAGATTAAGTTTTAATTTATTATTAATAAACATTAATTTTTTTGAAAGTTATTTTCTAAAACTATTAATTGGTATAAATGAAATTATTTATTTATTGAAATAATATCGTTATTTAAATTTTAACACTTAATTACTTGTTGAATTTAATAATCCATAAAATTGTAGTACCATTAATACATAATTTTGTTATTTTAACTATTTAAAATCTAGTTATGTTAAATATTTAGTCATTTAACTAAATATTTAAAATCTTAATCTATGTATTATAATTTAAAGTTATTCGATAACTATTTAAAACATATTACTAATTGATTTAATAATTATTGAAAATTTTCTATTAAATAACAAAACAAAAATGGATTTATCACAGAAAATAATAAATAATTACTGAAATATAATAAATATTAATTTCATTATATATAAATATATAATAAATGTAGATTAAGTTTTTAAAATTATTATTAATAAACATTAATTTTTTTGAAAGTTATTTTCTAGAATTATTAATTGGTATAAATGAAATTCGTTTTTTACAATATTATTTATTTTTGAAATAATATCATTTTAAAATATTAATTACTTGTTGAATTTAACTAAATATTTAAAATCTTAATATATGTATTATAATTGAAAGTTATTCAGTAAATATTTAAAATATATTATTAATTGATTTAAAATATTAATTTTAATATTTTGTTTTTGAAGATATTTATTAATTGAAATATTTAAATAATATTTCATTTTTAATGTTAGATTTTTATTATTTGAATAATATTTAGATTGAATAATCCAAAAAAACATAATTTATATTATTTATACATAATTTTGTGACGAATTTTATAAAAATATATAATAATTAATAATATAAAGATTATTAAATCAATTATAATTATTTTTTACCTTTTTAATAAATATTTTAAAATTATTATATAATTTTGTTAGAGTATTTAAATAATTATTAATTTTTTAATTCAGACTTTCTTTAAATAGATGTTGATAAAAAGTGGGGGAGAAGATAATTAAGAAGTAGAGAGAGAGATTTTAGAAGAAAGTTGAGGATAATGGAAAAAGTTTAGAAGAAAGTTGAGATTTTTTGCGAATAATTATATTATTTACTATAATAATAATCCCCTGATTCAGGCCTTTTCTTCATCTTCTTCTAGTTTTGGTCTTCTCTCTAATTCTGTTTTATCTCTTTCTATTGCTTTATTATCGTCTGAAATGTTTCAGGCTAGAACCCCTTCTATTTTCAAAGCAATGATGACATATTTAGAGCTGAAACTCTGAAAGAAAGAAAGAAAGAATTGATTCTGTCCACTCCACTTTTAAGTAGGTAATTTGTCTAATCTCATTAGATTGATTTGGTTTTGATTAATTATTGCTGACCCACCTACCATAACATTCACATTATGGCGATGGACGAGGGTGTTGGCATGTCCGTCCTTGTATATTCGCCGTATCAGAGGCTCCAATATTTGGAAAGTTTCTTCTTGGCAAAACTGGAGAGAAGGGTTATCATAAATTCATAGTTTATACTGTACATCACAATTCACAAAGTCTTCATTTTTGTCTCTTTAATTAACATATATATATATATATATATATATATATATATATCCACTGCTTCACCGCTCCTACTCCCATCACTAGAGTAAATACCACCGCTCGGTTATTATACTTATTATTATTATGGATTTATGGTTATTCTTGTTAGTCATTGTTAATTCATTACAGAATAGGAGGGCACCGTGTCGAGAAAGAAGAAGTTCCGAGCAGTGCGTGTCGCAGTTGAAGCGCGTGTTTGCGTCAGAGCAAATCAAAGAGCTAGCGTCGGTATATTCTCGCTTAAAAAGCCTCAACTGGAGCTGGCAGTTTGGTTTCTTCTGCTTCTTGCCCTTCTGGTTCATCTTCTTCCGCATCCCACAGGAAGTGGGCGTATGATCCCAAAACGAAGCTGCACTACCCATTTCAGTAAATTAAATTGTTTTATTTTATTTTTTCCTTCCTTAATAAAAGAACACAACAAGTAGAATTGCGCAAAGCATTAACCCTTCTCAATATGCTAACCCAGCTTAACAACAAATTAAATAAGCCACATCTGAGATGAATTACAGTAACTAAGTATCAATTCTAAGAATCCTACGGGTAAATTCTGTCCACCCACCAGACACACTATATCAACACTATATCAACTCCAATGGAAGACGGTTCATCATCATAAGAATAAAAAGAAAATGAAGAAAAACAGGGGAAAAATCGAATTTGACTGAAAATGTTCAAACTAAATATAGAACGGTGATGAACGAACTTTCCCGTATTTTCTATTGCTTTTTGTTTATCAGGATTTTACGCGTAAAAAAATAATAGAATTTAAAGTATATACCAGTCGCCGGGAGATGCCTGGACTGCCTGATCGAAATAAGATTGAGCTCTATCTTGATCTCTATGCGTCTCCCATATGAGTTTTCCGTATAGAGACAACACTTCTCCGTCTCCAGGACTCGCCAATATAGCTCTTCCATAGTATTCTTCCGCTTTAGCCACATCTTTCTCCACCTGTACAAATCAGATTCAAAAAATAAAAACATCATTATGACATGATGGAGTAGAAATATAAGTGGTCATCAACGTCGATAAATCGAGCTGCCAAGTACCTCATGCAAGAATTGGCCGTAATTCCTCAAGAGAAGTGGATTTGCTGGGTTCGATTTCTGCATCTGTTGATAATAAGCATGGATCTTGCTCTGATCAGCGTTACCGCCTGTGGAGGAACCACCACCACCACTACTGCCTCCTCCTCCGCCGCCTCCACCAATCTTCTTTCCCCTTCCCTCTCCACCACCGGAAAACTCCAACTCTTCCGTCACAACACCATTCTTCCGCCAAATTCTTGCAGAACTAGCACGATCAACCGTCTTTCGCCTCGAAACTCGCGATTCTGTGGCATATTCATGAAGCCCTTCCACATCCGATATCCTTCCAGGGGAAAACCGAGATCCGGCCCCATTCAACTGGGACAACCGGCCTGATTCTTTGTTAATCGACCAGATCATGTCGGTTTCGGATAATGCTCGTCGAATCCTCCTCGAAGCATCATCCTTCTTGTCTTTGATGTCGAAATGTAGCGACGACCTCAAAGAAACCCCGGTTTTCCCTTTTTTATCGGAGAACAAGATTCCAGTGGTTGAATCTAGATCGCAGAGAGATGTCTTCGTTGAACTAAGAATGGCAGATGCCTGAACCGGAGCCGAACTGGTTCTAAAAAGTACATTTTTCATTGCGGTTGCGGATCAGGAAAAAAAGAGAATGCTCTAGAAGTTGAACATTTTATTTGTAAAATGTTTCTGGTTTTCAGCTCCAGAGAGAGAGAAACGGTTGGCGAAATTGGCGAGTGGTGACTGGTGAGTTTATATAGCCGTCTGGTTGACGTTAGGAAAAGAGACGGTGTTAAAAGTGGAGGAGTAAGGTGTTGAAACGTGGCAAATTGCACGTGACCGTAGGCGTCGGCTTTGCCCAATTGCCTCACATGCGGGTCCACTTTGGACCGTAGTCTCGCTTTTGATTTCCCACGCGTCATGCAAGAGCCGTGAATTGATGATGCCATCATGCCACGTAGATGCACGTCCCGACAAGTTAACTCCCTAACCCTCTGACTCCTGTGTGGGTGGTTCCATGATATGTGTACGGATCCCTTTGATAATTGATACGTGTCTTCTTCAAATTACCTAAATTGCCCTTGATTCTGATGTACGGAATATTCGTTTATAGTTGCGAGTAAATGACCAAAATATCATCCTCATCATCATGGTCACTTGGTCCGTCACCGACCCGATCCATGCTGTTTAGACCTGGCAATTGTGTTGGGTGGGTCGGGTTCGGTTTGGGTCAAGATCCTTCGAGTTGATTTCAGGTTGGGTTGTCAAATGTTAGACCCTAATATTTAATTTTTGGGTTAGGGTTGACCCATAAGTCAATTAGGGTCATCCAAAAAATAACTAAAATTTAAAAATAAAGAAAAACTACATGAAAAATACCAAAATTAAAAGAATTAATCGTAAAATTCTAAATATAAAATAAAAAAATTTGAACATTTTACAATTTAAAGTGTAAACAATAAAGAATAAAGACTAAATAAAAAATATTAAAGAGTGGAAACTTCTAAGAATGCATAAATAGTTCTAATTATACTTGACAATCCGGTCTGTGGGTTAGTCCATGACCCAACCCAATCCATTTTTTATATCAGGTCGGGTCATTCTCACATTTAGATAGCTAAATACGAGACCCTAACCCTATATTTTCGGATTGAGTTGGATCGAGTGCGGGTTAGGTTAACTTTTTGCCAAATGCTGTTACATGTTGTTTGATGATATTCATGATAGGGATGCTTCTGCTAAAAAGCTTTAAAGCTCATTGGCTCCAAGGAAACCAACCCAGAATAGGACCCCGCCAATGGAAGTGCTTGGAACCCAGTCACGGCTCTCCCTTTTCATTTGAGTCTGCTTTGCACTTTCCATCAACCAAAAAAAGCTGAAAATGGAGTTGGCGTTTTTGGATGGGTCACACTCACGCTCAGAAAACGAGTCAAAGAGTTTGCGTTAGTATGTGTTTGGCATCGGTGTTGGGAATACAGTATTGTTTTTATTTTTTGTTTAGAAAAGGTATTGTCATTAGACCTGTTCATGGGCTGGGTGGCCCGACGAGCCGGCCCAGCCTGGCCACCGGATGGGCTTGAACATACATTTGAGCCCATGGGCTTGATCTCAGGCCAAAAAGCCCGGCCTGTAATAAATTCGAATTGGGCTTGGGATTTACCAAAATAGCCCGGCCCGGCCCAACCTATAGGTTAAACTTAAAAACCCTAATATCCTAAGTAACCCCTCTTCCTCATTCATGTCTTTCGAGTTAGCCGAATTGTCGAACCTCTAGTCTCTTCTCTTCACAGTGATTCACATCACATCCTCACACTCTTAGGCAGCCACAAAACCGGCAAACACTCACCGGAGCAACCAATAAACTCCGACAAATTGGCGGTGAGTCTCTCTCTCTCTCTCTCTCTCCCTCTCTCTCTCTCTCTCTCTCTCTCCCTCTCTCTCTCTCTCTTTCCTCTTCTCACTTCTTCTCTATCAAATCTCAGACANCTCTCTCTCTCTCTCTCTCTCTCTCCCTCTCTCTCTCTCTCTTTCCTCTTCTCACTTCTTCTCTATCAAATCTCAGACACCGGCGGCGGCAGTGAGTCCTCTCTCTCTCTCTCTCTCTCTCTCTCTCTTAGATGCGAACTGACTTCACTTTTCATTATCAAAATCTCAACTCATTGGCGAACACAGTCACCAACAGTGCGTCATCTGTTAGGTTGGGCTTCGGGCTTTTTATCAGGGTCGGGCTCGGGCCCAAGTTGTAGGCCCGTTGGTCGGGCTGGGCTCAGGCTCGGGCCTAACAAAATCTTGTTTATGAAGAGTAAAAGCCCAGTCCAAGCTCAGCCTGACCCATGAACAGGTCTAACTATCTTATAGGATGTTTTATGAGAAAACAGTACCAATTTCAGCATTAATGCTGTCGAACTGTTTTCAACATTAATATATGTTTAAGATGATGTCACATTAATGCCATATCATTGCAGTATTAGTAGTAATAGGTTGTTTTCTGATAAAACATATTGAATTTGGTGTTTCTAAATACGGTCAGACTACATTTTCCCGATTTCTAAAATATGTCTAATTGTCTAAAGCAACGTTTTTTTCTACAAAACAGTACCAAACAAGAGACCTTTTCTGAAGCACCCCTTTTCTTTTTCCTGATGTAGTGTCTATATAGTGCCATTTTCTCAAAAAAAAAAAGCATCGAGGCCAAACACCACCCTAGAGATTTCTTTTACATACATCCAAATTTCAAAAGCTTGCATTTGCGACCACCGGCTTCATTCTGATAAGATTTAGATTTGAATCGAATTGAATCTGTATTTATTTTTCTCGGATTCAGATGTATGCTTATTCAATGATCGCAGGTTAGAGAGCTAGCAAGCATAGAGCAGGTGAAGTCGGAGCTCACAGGGTCTGTACTCTGTGGTGTTGTTTACTAGGTGTCATTCTGGTAATAACAATGGAAAGCAGATGGCAATTGGAAATAAAGGAACGCTGGCAAAAACCTTGGTCCCGCCCGCATGGTGGCATAGAAGGTATAACTTATAACCAACCCACGTCCTACAAAAACAAAACTCAAAACCCAAAGCCGGGGTAGGACTTGGGCTTGGAGTATGGTCAACCCGGCCGCCAGTGGTTTTGTTCCTCCGTTTGTTTACACTAGAGTAGAGTAGATAGTATGGGAGTGGGACCCATGCGATGCATTCCCCCCTCCCCTTCACGTTCCGATGCATTCCCCCCTCCCCCTCCCCATCCAAATCAATCCAATTATCAATTATGTATTAGACTTTTCTTTTTTTATTTTTGGGATTTTTAGACTGCAATACCCCTCAGAAAACAACGAAACATATAAATATGAAAGACACAAAAAACAAAGCAACCCCTATTAATCCATATGCCCGATTCATCATGCATCGCCATTAATATTCTTGTAATTTCGATTAACTACATCAAAATCCGGTTTAAGGTTTTTTTTTTTATATGCCGGTTTAGGGTTTATTGAATCTTGTTTTGTTTTTTTTTTTTTTGATGTAAAAGAAAGAGTTTTCAAACCTCAATGGACCTCCTTTCCCATTTCCTTTGACATACATTTACATGAACAATTTATAAATTAAATTAGCTCCTGTTTGATATCACTTAAATTAAGTATTTGTTAAAATAAGTTTGGCAAAAAAACAATAAGTACTTATTTCGAAAATAATGCTTAAAAATAAGCAACTCTAAGAACTTAAAAAAAAAATAATTACTTATTCAAATTTTATGGGACAAGAATATTCCTAAAAAATTTTCAAAATATCAATACTACCCCCCACGAATGGAGAAAACCCTATCGTCTTCATTTGTGCAGGTAACGGAGAACATACTAGAGGGGTGACTGGTGGCTCTTTTTTTGTGATTTCTCTCAAGTGTGGTGTTTTTTCATGTTTTTCCTTATTCCTTCATTGTTCTCATGTCATTTCATCTTATTTTTTATGCCTTTTTTTACTTTTTTTTTGCATATTATTGTGAACAATATGCCATTACCCAATTTTTTCTACATAAATTGTGGGATATTTTCACTATTTTTGCTTATGATGTTGATTTTACATACTTTTAACAGAATTATTATTATTAATTTTAATTTATACAAAATACTCTTTTTAACATTAATATAGATAATCAAAATATTTATTTTTATCATTATCATCAATGATATTATAACTTTGTTAACAATATTTATTATTATTATTGTTGTTATTATAGGTAAAGCTTTGAAAGTACTTTTGTGAAATTACTCTTTAGATGTACTTACAAAATACTTTTTAAAAATAAATTTTGTAAAATACTTAAAAAAGTACTTTTGTGAAATGGAAATACCTTTGGAATATTGCCTTTTTATCAAACTAATTCTATGAAGTACTTTTTTTATAGTAATTTTCTAAAAGTACTTCCTAAAAGTAATTTTGCAAAAGTGTTTTCTTAAAGTAATTTGTGAAGTTTGTTAGTGTTATTGTTGTTGTTGTTGTTGTTGTTATTATTATTGTTATTATTATTATTATTATTATTATTAGTAGTAGTAGTAGTAGTAGTAGTAGTAGTAGTATTTTGTTTATTGATCATTTATATGAGAATAGTTTAATATAATATTCCAAAAACAACATTTTATATGCATTTGTGAAGTAGGGGCTAATTTTTATTTTTCACAAAAATAAGTACTTTTTGGTCAAGTGGCTCACCAAACAGTGTAACACTGATAAGTGCTTAGAATAAGCATAAGTGGTTTAGGGAAATGATCCACCAAACAACAATAAGTACTTATTTCTCAAACCACTTATTCACCAAACATAGCCTTAGTTGGACCTGTGTGACACGAGAATATTGGAGTAAACTGATGCTTTTAAGTTAAATAGGTTTAATAGGTGTTCGGGTTGTAGGTCAAACCCAACCATAAGTAAAATCTTCTTGTCCCCAAAATCCGATTTCTGATGAAAAGTTGTATAAATGACCATAAAAGGGTGAATGAAATAGTCCAAGTTGTTTCTGATCATTTTACTACTTTTTTTGGTGAAAACTATTTTAGAACTTAAACTAAAAATGATCAGGCATACAACAATTTTCGTTCTTTCACTCTATTCCATATCATTTGATGGTACAACTAAAAAAATCCAAGAGAAAAGAAATATGGTTACAAATAAAGAATGGTGTTAGAGGAAAGAATTATGATTGAAAATAAATTGTGAAAGAGTAA